ACGCTCTCTGGTTTCATTTAAAAGAGTCGATCATCAGATATTGTCCAAGATTAACCTTCAGGGTGGATATAGCTCGCTAGCAGCGATGACCTATCCACGTCATCATTTATCCAGAATGCTTTGTGTGTAAATAAAATGGCTCCTTCCGTGTTAAAATAAATTTTTAAAAATGATAAAAACTAAACAGCCTACAGTATTTTACAGTCTTTATCTTACAGTTAAAACATATGTTTATCAAATAAAATCTAATGTTACAACTAATCGGGGATCCCTTTAATGACTCCCAGCTACTACCCCATCACATTTTACTTAAGTATCTGTAAAGTAGACTTTAGACAGCAGGAGATATTAAATAATGGATAAAATGTCTAAATTGGGCCTTAAGGGTATTATCTTTATGTTTCTGTGCAAATTGTGACAACAACAACAATTGTACAACAGTACAGCTTGGTACATGCCTAGGTCACAGCTACCGTTCAGCCTGTCCCTCAGAGGCACGCTCCTGTAGTGAGTCAGGAGTTGGAATAGTAAGCATTGCAAAGAAAGTTTGTTAAAATCCTCCACTGTAGCAAAACTACCATACCTTTGTGGTTCTGGTCACTTACTGTGTTTTATTGGAAAAGCCATCCAGTTCCTCTCATGACAACAAAGAAAGAAACTGAATTAACTTACTTTAGTGAACCTCTTTGTTAATATTTTTAAACTAACCACATAGTTGCTGTTCCATGTTATCTTCAGTATTTCCATGATAATGATCTGTTTGTTGATGTTTAATCCTGCGAGCGTGGCTGTCACTGCTCGGTGTAGTTTCCTTGGCATCTGAAAATACATTTCCTCAAAGGTATTTTTAATCTGAAAGGGACTGGACTGAGAAGTAGTTTTAGGAGCTCAGCAGACACGGTTTTCACCGGGTGTTTGCTAGTTGTTGGTGTAGTTGTAGAGGAAGTTTGGTTTGGAGACACAGCCCAGAGGAGGAGCTGATCCCAAAAGGCAATTCTAGGTCCAACCGGTGGTTTTTGCTCTCCTGCCTGCTGCCTCAGGACACTACAGGATTTCTCAAACATATGAATGAGTCAAAGTAAGACTCTGGGCATGTTTTTGATGAGAGGATAACATTATAACATGATATAAAACTAAAAGAAGTTGATTTTACATGATATTGCTCCTTTAACATAGAAAGAAGGGTCCTGTTAAATATTTTTTGTCCATTTCCTTGTGGGTGATAGGAAGTGGTGTGTGACCCCTTTACACCAGAGAGTTCTTTTAAGTGGTGAAACAGTTTGTTCTCAAACTCATCCTAAATCATGGTGTAGATTTCTGGAAAACAAAATCTGAGACAAAAGTCATTAAACAGCTTGTCCACCTCAGTTTTTGCTGACTTGTAGTGGCATAAGCTTGAGCAAAACATGTGTAATGGTCCATGATTAAAGTACATATTCATAACCACCTTTGCATTACTCCAGGTGCAAAAAGTCAACTGACACTAGCTGAAATGGGTGAGTGGTCTCTACTCAAAAATTCAATTCTATTCAGTTTATTTATATAGCTCCAAGTCACAACATATGTTATCTCGGGGCACTGTACACAAAAAAAAGAACAATCTAAAGAAGAAGCCAGCAGATTGTGTTGAAT